AGGGATTTTTAAAAATATCTTTATATTATGTAATGTAAATACTTATACAAAATATTGTTATAATATATTAAATAAGTTTCTCTTATAATATAATTCACATTATTATTTATTGCGTTAAAAAATTAATCATAAAAATATAATTAATTTCATTGAATAGAAAAATACTTGTAATTTGTGTTCAAAATATTTATTATTATGAAATTTATTTTCAATACATAATACACTGATCTCTATATAAAACATTAATTTTTCGGTATATTTTACATGAGAATAGATATAGGGTTTGAATGGGAATACAAACAGTTATTTTTGATCATTAATTATGATTAAAACAAAACTGAATTTCCAAACCATATAAACAAAACATTTTTCCAATGAATAGTTTTTCACATATAAATTACATAAGAATGAGAAACATAAAAGTTTTTTAATTACATTTTTACTTTTATTTAATGGTTTTATAAAGTGTTTATAAAAAATAAATGTCTAAATAGTTTGGTAATTAGATTATTATGCTATTTATAAATTATAGTATGATCTCTCTCTCTCTCTCTCTCTCTCTCTCACTCTCTCTCTTATGTATTGCATAAAACAATTTTGAAGTTTATTATAATAAATGTTTAATCCTTTTCTCAATAGACACTTCGAGAGGATTAAAGTAATTCAAATGTTATGTAAAATTATAACGAAAGTTAGGCAACAAAATATTGCAAAAAACTAAATTTTGTCCATAAAAGACATTATATTTAATCCGTATTTCTTCAGACCTAAAGTTTGAATAAGTTATTAAACATTAGACTAAATTAAAGCTAAGATTTAAAACTATATAATTAACTCTTTTTTACACATGTGAGAAAACATATCAATGAGTTTTGAACAGGGAAAAATCAAGAACTATGTGATAATTGTTATAAATTGATTTATAACAGTGAAAATAAAAACAAAACTGATTTTTAATTAAAAATTCATCGCAAAGGGAGAGAAGGAGTGATAATACAGGAAATAGACATAGTATTAATATTATAACTTAATATTATAAAGTTTTGTATAACTGTTTTGATTTGCATTACATCCGAGACTCTAATATATAACTCGTGTTAATTTCTTATATATTTTATGTTATTTAAAACTTTAAGTCTTGCATAAAGAGAGTAAACAAATGGGGATTATATATAAGTTATTCAGTTATGGAAAATGTCACAAAAAATTATCATAACTTTGTGTTTCATTGCTTTCATTGTTGTTACACAAAATGCACCAAATTTTACAGAGAGAGAGAGAGAGAGAGAGAGAGAGAGAGAGAGCTTTAAAAATCAATACGTATATACATACAAACCATATATTTAATTGTATAATAAACTGCTTGTCTCTCATGTAATTCACAATTGCATTGCAATTTGCAATTCAGGTTAACATAAAGTGTTTTCATTTTGTTTGCATTTTGAGTGATGTTTGAGTTGTGGCCGAAGAAAAACAAGCAAAAGAAATATATTTATTGAACATAATATGCAATGCAAATGAATGGCAAACCAAAAGCCAATTATCCGTACCATTTAAACCATAGTTTACTTTTAATATAGCGTTTAAATTATAGCAACACTTTCTGGAGATTTATTTACAGAATATTTGGATTTTCAATTAAAAATTAGCAAAAATTACAATAAAATTATTATAAAAAATTATTAATTAAATTTCATTACAATTGTGTTAATAAAAAAAACTACAATCAAAGAAATCTATTTGATTTTGCGATAAACAGAAATAAAATAATTGAGACTAAAATTTCATTAATATTAAAAATACATCATTAATATTAATGTTTGGCGAAAGTGTTAAATGAGACATAAATTAAATGATAATATTTGAATTGAGTATTAAGTGCTGAGCCCTATATGTATGCATGTATTGAATTGGTATGTGTTTTGTTAGTTCACAAAATCAATCGGTTATTTGATAAAAAGCCGTCACATTTGGGGGTTCGCTAATAGACACACAATAAACTGATCAAGACTTTTATGGCGATCACCCAAACCTCGTGAGAAAGTTATGTATTGATATTATCGATATGTAGTGTATAAGACATTGCCATAAAATTGTATATTTATCGGTGTGTAATGGTATGAGTGGTGGGGTTTGGGGTTTAAAGGAGAAGAGAGAGAGAGAGAGAGAGAGAGATGATTGAAAATTTATTGGGAGATTTTTGCCTGTATTTGAGGGTCAAAAATGCGATCAAAAAGTGCAGCAAATATGTGTGTAATGGCAATAGTGGTGGGGTTTGGGGTTTAAGGGAGAATTAGAGAGAGAGAGAGAGAGAGAGAGAGAGAGAGAGAGAGAGGGAGAGAGAGAATGTCTGTGTGCTATGTGTGAGTGTGGGGGCAGAAAATTATATAACTTTATAGATATGTATAAATAATAATCCGTATAAACAGTTATATAATAAATGATCTGCCGATCGAATCGACCTAAATATCAAAATATGAATTCAATTCAATTTATTCTCCCTCTCCTGAGTCTCTCTCTCTCTCTCTCTCTCTCTCTCTCTCTCTCATACTCTCTTTCATACAACTAGTGCTTAGAGGGACAACGCCTTTATCACAACTCACTTATAATTTAATCACATTTTTTGTGTAGTTTTTTATATATTTGGAGATTCAGTCTATGGAGTGGTTAGGAATTTATGAGTGAAAGAAAATAACAAAACATGCGATAAATTCCTACAGATATGTCACAAAAAGATCGCTCAATGTTTTCGACACCACTTTTCAGCTAGATTTCACTTTTCATACCTCTCTCTCTCTCTCTCTCTCTAAAATTTGGTGCATTTTTCTTTAGACAAAAACGTGAACAAATAATGAACACAACTGTGTATTTTGACAGTTACCTCTCTCTCTCTGAGGAAAAATTTATTTTTCTTATGGAATGCAATAAAAAACAATTATTCAAATAAACAAGAAATTTATTTAGTTTTTAAAATAATTTTATTCAAATCATAATAACAATAATTATTAAACAAATAAATACAATAATAAAACTGCATTGAAAAATGAATGTCAACTGACGAGTGAATGGGAGTGAAAGATAGCGAAATGACTATAATTTTTGTTATACAATATATATTATGTGATATAATATGTATTTCAGTAGCCATTCATTGAAGAAAGTGTTGGCATTAATATTAAATTGTGTTAAAATATGTACACTTCTATAGAAATCAACGAAAGTTGTTATAAATCATTGCAAACCATAATTTATTTTAATTCATTTATTCAGTGAACACAAAAATAATGATATTTCTCTAACGTATAGCCGAAAAGACTATTAATTTTTTAGCTCAAAATAAATGTATGAAATATTTTCAAGCATTTCATATATGAATGAATAACAAAAAACTTAATTTAAAATGATAAAGATGTTTATCAACAATTTAATGAATAAATTTGTGTTTTGTTTAATGATTTTTGTTGTATTAAAATCCCTATGAATTTCTGGTTGTATTATAACTCTCTCATCGCAAACAACAAAACAATTCAAGCAAACAATTAAAACAACAATTTTTAAATACATTAAAATTCAAAACCTATTTGTATTATAAAAATAAAAACATAATACTTCTCTAATAACACAAAACATTGGCTCTCTATTGTGTAAGCAATCATAAAATGACTTAAAAATTTTAATAAGTATTATATAATACTTTACATATAATACTCGGTAAACCCTTATGTGTTATATACCGTTGGGATGGAGAGAGAGAGAGAGAGAGAGAGAGAGAGAGAGCTAACTGTCAAAATACACAGTTGTGTTCATTATTTGTTCACGTTTTTGTCTAAAGGGCACAATTAATCAATTTTTTCTCTCCGTTGTTATATTATAACAATATTATTATTTTTGATTTTTATCGGACACACAATTGTATAGTCTATTGAGCTATTGAGAGATTATAACAATTATTTTGTATAATAAAAAAATTAGTGCTTTTATTATACATTCAAATGTATAGTTTGCATAAAAATTACATATGTTTTTGTGCGTTGTTTTGGGGCTAAAGAATCGATACGTTAATACATGTATTGAAATTATCCATGCTTAGTTTTATTGTAAATGCGCTACAAATTGGGCTCAAATGTCACTCATTTACATGAGAGGGAGAGATAGGGTCACAACGGGTTTGACAAGTGAGGTCAGGGGTACACACCGTTCAATATAATATAATTTTTCGCTGTGTTATTATATCGCATGTGTTTTTCTTTAAGTGTATTGAGTGTCAGAAGAGTAGTTCAAATCAAATAAAAAGTTATCGTTAATATATGCAAAACTATTTAAACTTTATATTAAATTACATGGTATTCCTTAAAATCAAATTGTATTTACATATTTATATTTTAATAATCGGTTTTAAATGCATATTAAAACATCAATAGTAAAGAGAGAGAGAGAGAGAGAGAGAGAGAGAGAGAGAGAGATTTGTCTAAAATAATTTCAATGCAATCCACGCCTGGTTTTTAATAATTAATACGCCCTTTAAATATATGCATTGAATATATGTGTGTGTGAATGAGAGAGTGAGTGCGAGAGAGAGAGAGAGAGAGAGCAAAATCGGAAGAATTTCTAGAGTAATCCTATGAGTAGTTGTAATACAGGGATAGAAAAGCGAGAAAAAAATTGAGAGTAAAAAAGTCGGACATTGCCTTCGGATTGTTTCGTAATTGTATTACTAGTGAAAGTGTTTTTTATATATACACAACACATACACAACACACGACTTGACTGACTTTGGGACGGGTATGTAGTGTTGGTTGGTTTGGGACAGCCTTTTGCCAATGGAGTGAAGGGCGTGTATATTGTTCAGAGCTCTGGCATCCGATTCCCTCATAACGAATGGGTAGGAAATTCAGCCCAAACTCCGAGATATATAAAAGGCCAGAATTTTTCATCCAAAAGTATCATTCATCGACTCTCAAAACTTTCTCTACTTTCTCATTAGAAAAGTGATCGTTTAGTATTTAATTTTTTAATTTAAAATACCATTTAATTTAAACCCCATATAATAATGAAGGTATTATACGATTCTTTCCGACCAAGTTTTTTGTTTTAATAATGTTTTTCTATTGAAAGTTTTTGGGAAAACATAAGTTTTCTCAAATTCTCGTTAAAGTTTTTTGATGTTGTTTTCTATACGAAATGAAAAATGATGATTATCAATTTGTTATTTTTTACCAATTGTGTTTTTCTCTCTCCCTACCTAGTTCTTCGTACCATTAGTGTGTTGCATTGCCTTAGCGCAGGCACTTCCCGGCGGCCAATCTGTGTCCAGCAGAAGCCAAGATGTAATAAATTGTTTTCACAAGAAATAATAATTTCCCATAAAGTGTCGTTATTTTTAACTTTTTCTTTCTCTCACTTTCTCTCTCATCGGCTAAAGGATTGGGGAAACTATCAGTTCGGTTATGATATCGTAGACGAAGTAAGTGTCGATCGATTCAAACAATTTGTTACAATTCAAACCGTACTAACAAAACACCCCTCACTGTCTGACCACTAGTACGGCGCCCAAAACGGACGGGAAGAGAAGGGTGACGCTCACGGCAACAAAGCCGGCTCATACACCATCAGAGACGCCGATGGTCGATCCAGACGTGTCGACTATGTTGCCGACGCCCACGGATTCAGAGCCACCATCGGAACCAACGAAGTATAGCCCATCCCATCACTATCTCCTATCGACTCCTATACTGACAAACCGTGTGTCTGTCTGTCTGTCCCCCTCCCCAATAGCCCGGAACCGCCACCTCCAACGTCGGTGACGCCACTTACCTCAGCTCCGCCCCCATCATCACCGCCGAGCCCGCCCGCCACGTGTTGGCCGCCGCGCCCGCATACCACGCACCCGCTGTGTTGGCCGCACCCGCCTATCACGCCGATGCCTATCACGGAGACGCCTATCACGGACCGGCCCTCCGATCGTACGGCGCCCCCCTCGCCGTCGCCCACTCCGCACCCCTGTTGGCCCACTCGGCGCCACTCATCCGATCGTACAGCGCTCCGTTGGTCAGCCGATACGCCGCTCCCCTGGCCTACGGTCACGGACTCAACGGTCACGGAGCCGTCCACTGGAAATAAGCCATTCCTATAGGGTTTAGATACAAAATAATGTTGTTTTTTGTATTACTTTTTTTTATATAGTTTGAAAATGAAACGATAAATCCCCTAATTATTTGCGAAACCCCCTGTTTATAGCCTCTCTATATCTGTCTATCTATTGATTATCTCATTATTTCTTAAGTTATCTAATCATAAGATTATTGTTATATTATTTTTAAAGAATTATTGTTTTACATGTCTTTCAATTCTGGTGTTATAACAGTGTTTTTGTTATACATTAATGAATTTCTTAGGCATTTATNCTTTCGTTATAATTTTACATAACATTTGAATTACTTTAATCCTCTCGAAGTGTCTATTGAGAAAAGGATTAAACATTTATTATAATAAACTTCAAAATTGTTTTATGCAATACACGAGAGAGAGAGAGAGAGAGAGAGAGAGAGAGAGAGAGAGAGAGAGAGAGATCATATTATAAATAGCATAATAATCTAATTATCAAACTATTTAGACATTTATTTTTATAAACACTTTATAAAACCATTAAATAAAAGTAAAAATGTAATTAAAAAACTTTTATGGCTCTCATTCTTATGTAATTTATATGTGAAAAAACTATTCATTGGAAAAATGTTTTGTTTGTATGGTTTGGAAATTCAGTTTTGTTTTAATCATAATTAATGATCAAAAATAACTGTTTGTATTCCCATTCAAACCCTATATCTATTCTCATGTAAAATATACAGAAAAATTAATGTTTTTATATAGAGATCAGTGTATTATGTATTGAAAATAAATTTCATAATAATAAATATTTTGAACACAAATTACAAGTATTTTTCTATTCAATGAAATTAATTATATTTTTATAATTAATTTTTTAACGCAATAAATAATAATGTGAATTATATTATAAGAGAAACTTATTTAATATATTATAACAATATTTTGTATAAGTATTTACATTACATAATATAAAGATATTTTTAAAAATCCCTTTTCATGTATGAATGTTAATGAAAACCATTAATACTATCGTTGAAAACAATGGTTATAATACCGGGCGATGAATACATTATATGATATTTGAATAATTAATTTCTGTATACATATAAAGATATTTAAAATATTTTCACAAAATAATTAAACCACAAAAACAACAACAAAATTATTTCATATCAAAACTTGAATCAAGTAATCAATTAACGAGAGATTGTGTGGATGTAGTCAATGATTCCCACATATAATAAATACCACAAACAAAACCAAAACCCATTGATTGTTAGTGTTTTTCATAATATTTTATTTTTGTTTTATCAAGTTTTTGTTATTTTTATTTCTCTTACAGCGAAATAGTAATACAATAATTCATTTATAGTTTGATTTACAACTGTCTATCATATATCCACTACTCTTACAGCTCTCTCGGCCCTCTCTCTCCCTCTTTAGCTCACTTTCTCCCTCTCACTCACTATAACCTACTTTTCTCAACTGATTATACATTATTTGCTGCACTTTTTGATCGCATTTTTGACCCTCAAATACAGGCAAAAATCTCCCAATAAATTTTCAATCATCTCTCTCTCTCTCTCTCTCTCTCTCTTATTTTTTATAAATCTTAGTTTTACTTATATAACTTAAAATTTTAAGAATATATATCTTTAACTATTAGCAAATGTTAATAAAATAAACATACATCATATTCTGTATATTAGAATCACAAACAAATAATTTTCAATTACAAAATATCCTCACATTATATCGCATTAGATTGTCTTTAAAACAATAAATTAACAAAACTTTTAAAAATCAAATAATAATTGAATTTAAAGCAAACTCTGGACACAAAATATATCATATATAATATATTGATAATATAATAGCATTACTAAGACTAGGAATTGGCAGACAATTGATGTGTAGGCAATGAAAGATGTGTTGATCTGTGCGTGTGTTTAGTGTTGTAATAGAAGACAACAACAACAAGAGTCACTAAATCTTCATTCAATGGCTTTATGCCAAATGACAAGTGCCTAACGTTGCAGACGTGAACACTTCCCCAACATTGCCATACATGGCCTCCCTTTCCTTCTTACACTTGCAAATAACACTATTTCACTTTTATACACAATATCAATACATACGGACAGCATATAAAGCATAAAACTAACTAAAATCTATACTTTTTTAGCTTTCCAGCAAAAAATATTGTTTACTTTATAAAAATATATTTGAGTTATATTTTTGGAGATTTACTTATTAAAGTATACATAAAAAGGGTATATTTAAACACAAATGCTATTAGAAGATAATGTTAAAACTCATTTTAAACTTTAAAAAACATTAAACTTAAGCATTGAAAAATGTATTTCAACATGAAATTAACCTAAAAACATTAATTTTTCACCACAATTCAGTTACGTATAATGTGGTTTATAGAATCGTTCGGCCCCCTCCCTCTTTGAGCAATACCCGAATTGTGGTTAACGTATAGCATTGCTGTGGGAACCTATTTGTGATTATGTGAGTTGATTATGAATAAGTTTTTACATTACTTTCTATCGCTAAGAATACTTTTAATGAATAACATTCACATTTGTATATACTGTACGTATGTGTGTTTAAAAATTTTAATTTGCATTTAAAAGTTGCATCTGTATTTTAATTAATTAAAACTAAATTATCACAGTTTTGTAATTTTAAATTATATAATTTGTTTAATTTACAAATAATCTTTACAATAATTAAAATTTATAACATTTATTATTAATGTTAATAATTAAACAATGATTGTATTAAATTACCTGAAGCATAAACTGACTAAATTAATTTTTCATAATAAAAGAAGACTAAATCATATATATTTATATTACAATTACTAGCGCCACAGTTAACGCAAAAAATTATATATAATTTTCTTATAAATGTAAAATACTATTGAATTGTTGTCTCAAACACTTGATTTAATGACACAAATGGGATGTCATATAAATATTGCAATGAGTGAACAATAGCTTTAATTCCAATGAGACTCACGAATAGGGACGGATATTAAATATTTTTTATTGTATTGCAATTTTACACAATATCTCAATAAATTTATATCATTTTAAATGGCAATCAAAAATAAATCTTATATAAAATAGATTAAAAAACTTATTAGAAATTTAAATAATTATTTTTTCATTTTAGTAAATTGGAGTTATATTCTGTATGTTGATAGCAATAATAATGTTACTATTAATATTTTGGAAACTTTGCTTTGTTGCTGTCCAATAAATATTTCAAGTTAGAAAATGTAATTACACTTACTAATAAGATTTTGATTTAAATACAAACAAAAGTTTTTGTATTAGAATATACATATATTAGTAAAGCTCACCAAATGGCTGTTCATTAGTAGCGGGCGATTGTGCCGGTGCTGAACACTTCACAAGACATACATTATATATTAACATTAATACAATAACTATAACACACATTATGTATTTTAGTTTAACATTCATATTAATTATCAAACATTAAACAATGATTGGATATATTATATTATATTTAAAAACTTGATGTATTTATGCATTTATGTTGACATTTTAAAACGATATTTTATTCAAACAAATACTAATTATAGAATAACATTTTATATGGTATTATAAGTCAATCAATTATTACATTTATTACATAACATTAGTAACCAAAAGCTGTTGTTGTATTGATATTAGAGTAAAGGTGTTATGAAAAGAATATTAAGAGTTTTTTAGTAATCGTTTTACTCGAGGAATGGCAACGAATGTGAAGAGTATGTGAGTGTCAATGGCATGATATGAGGGATCGGATGCATCGGTGGCATCGGTGCCCATCAGCCACAGCCGCAAAAGCATTCGTTTCATTCATATTCCACTATACATACAGACATACAGTGTGTATATATTGGAAAAACTGCAGTATCTATTGGATGCTAAAGTCCTACTGCTTTCATGTAATACTATTATTGTGTACTCTTTGCCTCACATCAAAGCAAAGGCATCGCATAGTGTTGTGCATAGAGAACAGAGTTAGAGTACAGGCGCGCACTCCTCAGTCCTCACCACCGATTCGATCAATAATTTCCACAAACTTTCTCTCAATTCTTTCCAAATATAAATAATATCCAATACATTGCATATACAGTACTACACGAATATAAAGTATACTTTAGTATACTGTAATAGTATTTTGCAGATTGTATAGTAACTTATATTGGATACTGAAATCATTTTAATATTTTAATATGTTTTAAGAATATTTATTACAAATATTTATTTAAACATTTATTATATTAATGAAGGTTATATACTATTTGACTTTCTTACTCTAAATGTAAATAGTAAAAATATTGCAAATATTTAATGTATCTATATATTCAAATAACAAGCTAAAACTACAAATCAATTAATGTAATAGTTTCAATGTACTGTATGTAACGCCATACACAAAATTAACAGATACAATAAAATTATTTTGATAAATCTTGTTTATTGGTATAAATAACTACAATTATTTTAAATAAATATTAAAGCAACATTTAAATAACTCATTAGTTATAAGTAGTGAAATTGGTTTAATGTTATTATAAATACGTTTAAACGCCGTTATGTTAAACAATGTCCAGTGAACACCCGGACCAGGGAATCATTATTATAGAATGTAAATACACTCTCTGGGCAGTCGTGTGGTATATTTTATATGGTAAGACCACTTCGGGATTGGCCGCAGTGATCGCTTTTACCGCGAAATTTTTAAAAATGAAATATTTTTATGAATAAGTATTTAAGTCGATTCATATTAAAATTAATATTAATTAGTTTTTCCAACTTTAAAAAATTATTTTAATAAGGAAACTTTGGACATCCTGTACATTATGATAAAGAAAACCTGCCCAAGCTCATTTCAAATAAAGTGTGTTTTTATATGTTTTTATAAATTATGATTGGTTAGAGGTAAAGGTTAAAATTAATTAGACGTATTTAATGAATCACTAT